TCTCTCTCTCTCTCCGTGTCCGCTGTGTGACTTGCAACCAGAATCATCCCGAATGTTCACAACCTCGCCCTGATCCTAGGAAGATAAGCAGCTATGTGCCTGGGTAATACTACGCGGATGGGAGGCTGCCTGGGAATACAGGATCCTGTACGCTCGGGCTGCGAGGTGGCCCAGAGTTGGCACGACAAAACATGTATCCATCTGTGCGGCGTTTTGTGTCACCACCTCGTGTGTGTGTTTTAAAGGCAAAGATCCCCCGGATCGCTTTAGCAGACTGTTGGGGGCAAGTGCTGTTAGCGAGCACCTATGAGGGCCGGAAGGGCCCACGAGGAGGCCAACACCACACTCCAGCCGCCTTTGTCTCCCCAGTGCTGATGTTTACTCACAGCATCAGCTGTGAGTAAACATCAGCACTAAGACCAGGTTCAGATATTCACCACTGGCATTGGTCGTGAGTGGGAATCGAACTCGTGTGGCCTGGTCCGTCAAATTGGCCAAACATCCCGTTGCAAGCAGGGCCCTCCCGTACCAGGGTCTTGAGACTCGGTGAGGCTTCTGGTTAATACACGTAAATACATGAAGTGTAGGTATCGTTAGCCGCATGAGCAAAACCGTATTTAAGAAAGTCCCCTCTGTCTCCCCCCCCCCCCCATCGACCTCACGCGCACTTTCAATCATATTCATGGGCAGACCGCTGCCGCTTTGTGGGTCTATAAAAAAATGTGTTCGACTTCACTCGCTGGAAATTGATGCAGTTGATCCCGAGCTCTCTCCCACAAACCCGGTCATCCAATAAATATATTTATTTATAACTGAATAAATAAGCGAGGGGTCACAATTGTTATTATAATAGCCGTGCGTCTGCGCGTGCCGCCTCGATGTGCGGCGCTTTGGCATCGCGCCGTTCTCCCCCCCCCCCGCCGCCTCTGCCACCTCCCCTCGGCCCCCTCCCGCGTCTCTCTGAGCTCGCCGTTGCTGGGAGGAGGTGGGGTGGGTGTCGTGGGGCAGGACAGGCCGACGCGGTGAGCAGTGTAGCGTCCGACAGACGCTCCCCCAGGACCCCGCTGGGGGAACTCTGGCCACGCATGCTGCACTCATTAAAGTGGCCAACGCGGTGCAGAGGGGGAGACTGGGCTTCCTCTGCACCCCCCCCCCCCACAGCCAACCCCACCCCGCCTCGCTCCCTCATTGCTCGTACACGCAGGCAGTATTAGCCTTTGTAGGCTGTTGGGGCAAGTGCTGTTAGCGGACGCCTATGAAGGCCGCCACCGCGAAGACAAACATCCCCCGTATCGCCTTAACAGACTGTTTCGGGCAAGCGCTGTTCGCGAGCACCTATGAAGGCCGGCACAGCACGAGGGGGGGGGGACGGGGAGTGGCCAGCATCACGTTCGGCCGCCTTTATCTCCCCGGTGGGGATGTTTACACACCGCGCCAAGTACTAATGTTAGGCTGAGTCGACCTAGGGGAGGCCCACGACCGGTTCAGATAATCGCCACTGGCGTTGGCCGTGAGCAGGAATCGAACTCGGGTGGCCGGCCTTGTAGCACAGCGCGCTAACCGCTGCGCCACCGCTCCCAACTGCACACGCACGCCCACGCTCATCACAAAGGGGGTGCGTGACGCGGCCCAACGATAGCGCGTTCGCCGCTTGTTGCTGCAGACGTTCACGGTTCGAATAAAGTGGCCACCCTGGTTATTACCGCGGTGTGATCATTCACTAGAGTATGCCACTGGGTGCTGGCAAAAAAAAAACTATTCAAATTTGTCACATTTCAAAGATTGCCTGCAAAGTACTCGATTGGGATTACGCACAGGGCAAGTATTGTCCCCGACTGTGGAAACAGGGCCAGGACCCTCCTGAGAAGGAGTCACGAGACTCGAGCACACAGGGTGGCGCGGTGGTGGTAATACTCGCGCATCGCAGCAAAAATCGCCTGGATTCAATTCCTGTTCTCTGGCGCCTTTGCTTTGCACGGGTTTGCTCTGACAGCTTAAACAAAACAACGGAACTGGTATCGGCCAAATAACATCCACAATTCTGAAGAATAACCAGCAAATTACTCAATTGGGATTACGCACAGAAGCATCACTTCTCCTGCAAAAGCGTGACAGGACTCTCCCGAAAAAGGTCGCCGTGGTGGCGAGATGTTAAGTACCTCGCCTGGTATAAAGGAAGTCGTGGTTTCGATCCCGATCATGAAGTCTGTATATTTAGATTTTGCGTGTCTCTCTCCCCGTGCGTTTCGAGTATTTGGCTGCTATAAATGTCCACGTGTTAAGCCACTTCGTTGAGCTATGTCAGTGGGCCTTACCTGGTAAAATAAAAAAAAGTTTAATTTATAGTTTTAAGAATGTCGAGACTCGATGAGGCTCGATGAGGTTTTCCTGGTCCTTCGGATTCCTGCCACAGCTAAGCACAAAAACAAAGACAAAGATCCCCCGTATAGCCTTAACAGACTGTAGGGGCAAGTGTTGTTAGCGAGCACCTATGAAGGCCGGAACGGTACACAAGGGGGTGGGTGGCCAGCACCACGCCCGACCGCCTTTGTCTCCCCAGTGGCGATGTTCACTACACACCGCACGAGGTACTTATTTCAGGTTGAGTCGACCTAGGAGCGGCGCAGGACCAGTTCAGATAATCGTCACTGGTGTTGGCCGTGAGCGGGAATCGAACCCGGGTCGCCAGGTTCATGGCGCAGCATAGCGCTAACCGCTACGCACGCACACACGCACACACACACGCGCGCGCGGTGTCGTCGTGCCGAACATCATCGCAATGAGACAGGGACCCTCCTGAAAAATAGTCTTTGGGTAGTTGGTGTGGCTTTCCTGGGGAAATCACAAATAATTATGACAACACACCCAGTCACGAACTTGGCTCATGGTGAGCAGCGCGGGTCGTGTCCGCGATCGGTGCCCGATGATTCACGGGAATTGTCCAGGCCATCAAAGCTGAACTGGGGCTTTGAAGATTGCCGACTTTCAAGTGAGGCACGACACGAGAGAGCAGTGCCCGCGTGGGGCGCACAGCTCCCCCGCCCCTCCCTCCGCGCTTTGGGCCCAAGTGACCCCCGCGATCCGTACGCAGCCCCCCCCCCCCCCCCCCCGTGATCCTAACGCAGGGGCTCCCCGATCCAGATGCATATACCGTATGCACACATATATTATGGGACCTCATTTGCCAGTACCAAAATATGAGAATGGGGTTTCCCCTTTTGGCGTCCTCTGGTCTATCACCGTATGAGACGAGCCTCCAAAGAAAGTTGTCTCTGGCGTGGACCAATCAGTTTCAAAGACAATGCATATATTATCAGTGTTTTTTGTTTGCATTCTGACCATAAGTATTGTGGTTAATGCAGACATGATTCCTTGTAAAATATTTCAGTTTGGTGTTTTAACATCTTAACACAGCTGTTTTGTTGCCATAAAAAGGGGAAAACCTATTCTCACACATTTATTTTCAGGGTTTGCTGACCCGGTTTAGACCCGACGGCTAAATCGAAGCACAGGGTCGCGTGTGGCGTTGTAAAGTGTGGGTAAAGTGTGGGTAAAGTGTGGGTAAAGTGTGGGTAAAGTGTGGGTAAATTGTGGGTAAAGTGTGGGTAAAGTGTGGGTAAAGTGTGGGTAAAGTGTGGATAAAGTGTGGGTAAAGTGTGGGTAAAGTGTGGGTATAGTGTGGGTAAAGTGTGGGTAAATTGTGGGTAAAGTGTGGGTAAAGTGTGGGTAAAGTGTGGGTAAAGTGTGGGTAAAGTGTGGGTAAAGTGTGGGTAAAGTGTGGGTAAAGTGTGGGTAAAGTGTGGGTAAAGTGTGGGTAAAGTGTGGATAAAGTGTGGGTAAAGTGTGGGTAAAGTGTGGGTAAAGTGTGGGTAAAGTGTGGATAAAGTGTGGATAAAGTGTGGGTAAAGTGTGGGTAAAGTGTGGATAAAGTGTGGATAAAGTGTGGGTAAAGTGTGGGTAAAGTGTGGGTAAAGTGTGGATAAAGTGTGGGTAAAGTGTGGGTAAAGTGTGGATAAAGTGTGGGTAAAGTGTGGGTAAAGTGTGGATAAAGTGTGGATAAAGTGTGGGTAAAGTGTGGGTAAAGTGTGGGTAAAGTGTGGGTAAAGTGTGGGTAAAGTGTGGGTAAAGTGTGGATAAAGTGTGGGTAAAGTGTGGGTAAAGTGTGGGTAAAGTGTGGGCAAAGTGTGGGTAAAGTGTGGGTAGAGTGTGGGTAAAGTGTGGGTAAAGTGTGGATAAAGTGTGGGTAAAGTGTGGGTAAAGTGTGGATAAAGTGTGGATAAAGTGTGGGTAAAGTGTGGGTAAAGTGTGGGTAAAGTGTGGGTAAAGTGTGGGTAAAGTGTGGGTAAAGTGTGGGTAAAGTGTGGATAAAGTGTGGGTAAAGTGTGGGTAAAGTGTGGGTAAAGTGTGGGCAAAGTGTGGGTAAAGTGTGGGTAAAGTGTGGGTAAAGTGTGGATAAAGTGTGGGTAAAGTGTGGGTAAAGTGTGGGTAAAGTGTGGGTAAAGTGTGGGTAAAGTGTGGGTAAAGTGTGGGTAAAGTGTGGGTAAAGTGTGGATAAAGTGTGGGTAAAGTGTGGGTAAAGTGTGGGTAAAGTGTGGGTAAAGTGTGGGCAAAGTGTGGGTAAAGTGTGGGTAAAGTGTGGGTAAAGTGTGGATAAAGTGTGGGTAAAGTGTGGGTAAAGTGTGGGTAAAGTGTGGGCAAAGTGTGGGTAAAGTGTGGGTAGAGTGTGGGTAAAGTGTGGATAAAGTGTGGGCACCCCCACCTCATCACGCCTGGCCAGCGTAGAAAAGCAGACCAACACACCGGCTCCCTCTGGGGGGTGGGGGGTGGGGGGGGTGGCGAGGGCTCTTCGACGCAGCAGCGCGAGACGAACCCGACGCGGTTCGGTGTCCTCCCTCCGCGGCCGAGCGCCGCTCGAAGAACGAACGCCGCCCGCGCGCCTTCGGGGTCCCGCGATCGATCCCGCGTTGTTTTGATCAGCGCTGCGCCTTGCGCTCTCTCAGCAGAGATCGACAGGGTTCAGAACGGCGCTGCGGCTGCCGTGGCCGCTGCTGTGACCACCACCGCCACCACCGCCACCACCGCCATGCCGCCGGTGACGGCGGCACCGACGGGGGACGAAGATCGACGCTACCGGGACGTCGTCAGCAACCAGAACATGAAGCTTTGCGAGAAGGTGCTCATCCCGGTCAAGCAGCACCCCAAGGTACGAGGGACGACGGCGCCACACGGGGCAGCGGCGACGCACAAGCAGCAGCAGCAGCAGCAGCTTCTGGCGCTGTTGGGTGGCTAGCAGTGGATAGAACACGGAGCGTCGGCTTCTCTGCCGCTGTTTTCATTCGGTGTCTTGTACGTGATTACTGTACTGTACATGAAAACTGTATTGGATGTTACGTCCGGCTTTTGATTGTCAGTCTGTGGGTATCTATTTGAGTCCGTGTCTTCATGTAAGTCTATGGATGTATATGTGAATCTATGGGTCTATTCATACGTCTATGGGTCTCAATGTGCATCTACGGATCGATTATGTCAGTCTACGGGGTCGATATGAGTCTGTGGGTCTCTTTAGTTCTATGGATCTCCGTGCTCACTCTTTGTTGTCCCAGCGTTTTAATCTTCGTCTCGATGAAGATCGAGACCGCCGGTATAGACGTGAGTAGCAAGTGCTGTTAGCGAGCACCTATGAAGGTTAGCACGGCACACGAGGGGGAGGGTGGCCAGCACTACGCCCGACCGCCTTTATATCCCCAGTGGCGGTATTTACAGACCGTGCCAGGTACTCATTTGAGGCTGAGTCGACCTAGGGGAGGCCCAGGGCCGGTTCAGATAATCGTAATTTGTGTTGGCTGCGCATTGCGCTAACCGCTCCCCACTACCATGGTCATCGCAAACACACACACACAAACATCTAATATTAACCCGTTGATAATCGACTGGTGGATGAATCACGTGGAGATGTTTGACCATACTTCGCCACGTTGGTCATGTGCGGGTTGGTGGTGACGGGAGAATGCCAGGCAGGACCCGTTCCGACATTAATTGCCACTGCACTTTCACCACGGCTGAGGATTGCACTCGGGGTCGCTGGGTTAGAAAGCGCAGCGCGCGAACCGCTGCGCCACCGCTCGCCCTCCCCCCACGCACGCACGCGCACGCACGCGCGTGCCAGCGCTGCCATGCGGTGCGCGTCCACGCGTCGCTCATATCGCCCCCCCCCCACCTGCTTTCCCCCCACCCTCCCCCCGACACTCAACGTGGGAATTTTCCGAAGAGACCGCTTTCCTGCCACCAGTACAAAACGTTGATGGCGTTGGGACAAACATCCCAATGTAGGATCACAGAGCGTGGACAATTGTCGACCCCAGTTTCCGGCTGCCCTTCCCGCTTGTCTGTGGTCTCCCGTCGCCTCTCGATCCACCTTTCTTTCTTTCTCTATCTCTCTCGCTGGGAGTGAATGCAAACTGTGTGCGATACAAATGAATACTTGAAATATCTCCGCGGTGGCAGAAGAGGGGAGAACCACTTGTAAACGCATCGTGTTGAGTGGTGCATTATCACTACTACTGCTACTGTTACACAACTGTTCAACACTGGGGCTGCTATCATGAGACCTTTTTTGCCAACATTGAAGTATGAAAAAGTAAAAATAGATTTGACCCTTTCTGACAATAGAACATGTGTTAGAACATGTGTTAACACATGTGTTAACACATGTTCTAACACCAAATAGACACCTTTCGCAAGGAATCAAGTCTGCATTAGCCGCACGCACTTGTGGTGAACATGCAAACCAACACGCTCTGATAATATATGGCCATTGTCTTTGCAACTGATTGTCATAAACTAGAGACAGCCTTTTTCATGGCCCAGTCTCACCAGTGTGTCAGACCAGAGACTAACGTCAAAAGGCGAAAAATACAAAGCCAACGCACGTATCAGAGCATTTCTAGCTCGGGGTCGAGCACCTGCATAATAGGATACCTTTTTTTTGTGCCAGTACTGGGGCTAGTACTGTAATGCCCCGTGGGGAAAGACTCAAAAGATCACCGGGAGACAGCTGCCACCCGCTGGTAAGAGAGGACGATCGTGAAGAGAACCTGGACGGGGTGACGGCAGCCGAGACTGAGCACCCAGTCACGAGCTGGAGGGAGTTGTGCGACGCGGATGACGCCACGTTGGGGAGGCGCCAGGAGCTGGATTGATTTTTTTGTCATGTTTTATTTATTAACATTATTATTATTATTATTTATTTTCGAGCCTCTCACGTTGTAATTTCGAAGGTGCTAATTAATCGCAGCCGTCATCGTGATTGCGCTGCTCTCGTCAGCTGGGCGGGTGGGGGGGTGTGAGTCATGCGATGCCGTGATGATGCTGATGATGCTGCAGCGGGCGATGTTTGCGTCTGTGGCGTACGGCGCTGGCGACACTTGGGGCGCAAATCGGCAAACTGGGCACAACCTCAGGTCCCCAAGTAGCTCACGGGGGAGGGACAGGGGGGGCTGAGCACAACCTCAGGTCCCCAAGTAGCTCACGGGGGAGGGACAGGGGGGGCTGAGCACAACCTCAGGTCTCCAAGTAGCTCACGGGGGAGGGACAGGGGGGGCTGAGCACAACCTCAGGTCTCCAAGTAGCTCACGGGGGAGGGACAGGGGGGGCTGAGCACAACCTCAGGTCCCCAAGTAGCTCACGGGGGAGGGACAGGGGGGGCTAAGCACAACCTCAGGTCTCCAAGTAGCTCACGGGGGAGGGACAGGGGGGGCTGAGCACAACCTCAGGTCCCCAAGTAGCTCACGGGGGAGGGACAGGGGGGGCTGAGCACAACCTCAGGTCCCCAAGTAGCTCACGGGGGAGGAACAGGGGGGGGCTGAGCACAACCTCAGGTCCCCAAGTAGCTCACGGGGGAGGGACAGGGGGGGCTGAGCACAACCACAGGTCTCCAAGTAGCTCACGGGGGAGGGACAGGGGGGGCTGAGCACAACCTCAGGTCTCCAAGTAGCTCACGGGGGAGGGACAGGGGGGGCTGAGCACAACCTCAGGTCTCCAAGTAGCTCACGGGGGAGGGACAGGGGGGGCTGAGCACAACCTCAGGTCTCCAAGTAGCTCACGGGGGAGGGACAGGGGGGGCTGAGCACAACCTCAGGTCTCCAAGTAGCTCACGGGGGAGGGACAGGGGGGGCTGAGCACAACCACAGGTCTCCAAGTAGCTCACGGGGGAGGGACAGGGGGGGCTGAGCACAACCTCAGGTCTCCAAGTAGCTCACGGGGGAGGAACAGGGGGGGCTGAGCACAACCTCAGGTCCCCAAGTAGCTCACGGGGGAGGAACAGGGGGGGCTGAGCACAACCTCAGGTCCCCAAGTAGCTCACGGGGGAGGAACAGGGGGGGCTGAGCACAACCTCAGGTCCCCAAGTAGCTCACGGGGGAGGAACAGGGGGGGCTGAGCACAACCTCAGGTCTCCAAGTAGCTCACGGGGGAGGGACAGGGGGGGCTGAGCACAACCTCAGGTCCTCAAGTAGCTCACGGGGAAGGGGGGCTCCGGATGATTCATGAACAACAATAACATAACGGGTGCGGACAACAACCAGCTCGAATTCAGATCCTCGTATCTTACCTTGTATAACACAACAATTGTTTACAATTATACATTCGTGCGTAAGATCATAGTGATTGAAATTTTTTAAAAAATTGAGTTATTCAAAGTGGTGGTGTGGACATGGTGACAGGACAGGTGGGAGTGGTTAAGGAGGGATTGGGATAGGGTGGTGATAGGAGTAGTGGTAGGGATTGGGACAGTGATAGGGGTAGTTATAGGGGTTGTGATAGGAGTAGTGGTAGGGGTTGTGATAGGAGTAGTGGGGTAGGGGTTGTGATAGGAGTAGTGGTAGGGGTTGTGATAGGAGTAGTGGGGTAGGGGTTGTGATCGGAGTAGTGGTAGGGGTTGTGATAGGAGTAGTGGTAGGGGTTGTGATAGAAGTAGTGGTAGGGGTTGTGATAGGAGTAGTGGTAGGGGTTGTGATAGGAGTAGTGGTAGGGGTTGTGATAGGAGTAGTGGGGTAGGGGTTGTGATAGGAGTAGTGGTAGGGTTGTGATAGGAGTAGTGGTAGGGGTTGTGATAGGAGTAGTGGGGTAGGGGTTGTGATAGAAGTAGTGGTAGGGGTTGTGATAGGAGTAGTGGTAGGGGTTATGATAGGAGTAGTTGTAGGGGTTGTGATAGTAGTGGGGTAGGGGTTGTGATAGGAGTAGTGGTAGGGGTTGTGATAGGAGTAGTGATAGGGGTTGTGATAGGAGTAGTGGTAGGGGTTGTGATAGGAGTAGTGGTAGGGGTTGTGATAGGAGTCGTGATAGGGGTTGTGATAGGAGTCGTGATAGGGGTTGTGATAGGAGTAGTGGTAGGGGTTGTGATAGGAGTAGTGGTAGGGGTTGTGATAGAAGTAGTGGTAGGGGTTGTGATAGGAGTAGTGGTAGGGGTTGTGATAGGAGTAGTGGTAGGGGTTGTGATAGGAGTAGTGGGGTAGGGGTTGTGATAGGAGTAGTGGTAGGGGTTGTGATAGGAGTAGTGGTAGGGGTTGTGATAGGAGTAGTGGTAGGGGTTGTGATAGGAGTAGTGATAGGGGTTGTGATAGGAGTAGTGGTGTAGGGGTTGTGATAGGAGTAGTGGTAGGGGTTGTGATAGGAGTAGTGATAGGGGTTGTGATAGGAGTAGTGGTAGGGGTTGTGATAGGAGTAGTGGTAGGGGTTGTGATAGGAGTCGTGATAGGGGTTGTGATAGGAGTAGTGGTAGGGGTTGTGATAGGAGTCGTGATAGGGGTTGTGATAGGAGTAGTGGTAGGGGTTGTGATAGGAGTAGTGGTAGGGGTTGTGATAGGAGTAGTGGGGTAGGGGTTGTGATTGGAGTCGTGATAGGGGTTGTGATAGGAGTCGTGATAGGGGTTGTGATAGGGGTAACCTCGCTCTATAATGTTCGGGGGTCACGTGAAGCACCCACAATTAATTTCTTAGACCCACCCGCCCTCGACCCGCCCCTCGAGGGCTTGCATCACCGCAGTCGGGGTGGTGGCCACCGCAGACCTCACTGGAGTTCGCTTCGCTTCTCTGCGCAGTGGCAACCGCTCGCCGTGGGCGATCAGAGCTGGCTCGCAACGCTTATACCCCCCCCACGCCCCGCACACCCCGCCACCCACACAACCCACACACAACCCACACACA